AAAGAAAGAAAGAAAGAAAGAAAGAAAGAAAGAAAGAAAGAAAGAAAATCATTCAGCAGAAACTCTAAACTTTCTCATTATTCTGGTGCTTATTTGAGTTGTCTACAAAGAAGAATGCCAAATCATTTCCATATTGTTGAAAATATAAATAGATATACATAATATGCCTATTTATTCATCAGGGACTGTGAGATACATTATTTATTAGAAATTGAGATATATAGATACAGATATACAGGTAGCTATAGTTATAGTTATTTTATTATGTTGATTTCCATAATGAAGATCAGTTTGGAGTTTTACCCAAAATATAATATTAGAAATGTATTGGACATTTTGGAATACTTAAAATACTGAAAAAAGGGCTGCTTTGATCTTTTCAAATGCAGAAAAGGCCTTTGATGACTGGACTTTCCTGTTTAATTTTTGGAAGATATGGAGTTTGGTGAGAATTTTATTAAATGGATAAAATTGATTTATACTTTGCAACACACACAAATAATTTTAAGTTGAAAATTAGCAAAACCTTGCGAAATATAGAAAAGGAGAAATCATGCCCCTTGTCACTATTGTTATTCATCTTAGATTTGAAATATTGAATGGAGACATAAAACAAGATTAAATAATTGCTAGAATGATGATTAAAAGGGAAACATATAAATTATGAGTGTTGTCTGATAATTTGGTGATAATGTTTGAAAATTCTTTCAAAGGAGTAGATATATTAATAGAAAATGAAAGGGTTGTGGTGCATTAGTTAATTTAAAATTAATTAGATAATGAAAATATAAACAAAAACAGGAATCTGAAAGAGCAAAAAGAATGAGAACAATGGATTTAAGATTGAGAAAACTGAAATACTTGGATGTTACTATGACTAATATAAATTGTATGTTATTTCAGAATAAATTACAGTATGTTAAAACAGGAAATTAAATTAAGATGGATATGAAAAACTGTGCAATGGAATTAAGAAGAATTGAAGACAAAATCTTATTACAATATTTGATTGAATTAAATATTAAGAGTGTTAGAAATAAAAGGAAAGAGTATAAAATAAGTTTATTTCATCACAATTGAATTCTTTTTTTTTTGCAAGATATGGCAACCCTTTGTGCAATTTTTACAAACATCAAGACTGAAAAATTGATGTTTCATGGGTTTGCTTACAGATAAGGTAAGGGATATGAAATGAAGGAATAACATTTTTTTAACATTATTCAGTGAAGAGTTACTAAATTTATCTATATTTATTGTGATGAAGCTTGAAATTCACTTCTTTATATATTGCTTTATTATATTCTTTCTTCTTTCCTGCACTTTTTATTCTTTCTATTCTATTTTTTCTCTCTTAAGTTTAGTCTGTATTAGTTTCTACTATTAAATATCATAATACTTAATAATACTTTATAAGTATCATAATACTTAATACTTTATGAGTATTGTAATACTTAATATTACAATACTTTATAAAATTATATTTTAAAACAGAAACATGTAAGCCAAGATATTCCCTATAATACTCTTCAGAAGTGAAAGTTGGACTTTGAAGGAGCAAGAAAGGAAGAGTATTTAAAATTTGATGTTGGAGAACACTGTAGACAAACAAATGGATCAAATAAATCAAGTCCGAGTTCTCAAATGACCACACTCAAATTATCCTACTTCAGGCTCATTATGCAATGACCTAGTTTTCTAGAGGAGGCTCTAATATTGGGAAAGGTAGAAGTAAAGAGAAGAAGATGACCAGGACCAGGTCAATGGACTCATTATTGTGTGATGGAAAAATTGAAAGATCAAGTTAGGTCTTCATCATAAATCATGATAGAGAAAATATATACTAGGACCCCCAAATAACTTGATGGCATATAATTAATCATTCAGTTATACTACATTATTATTCTTTCATTGTTTTTACCATTGTCTACATAGCCTGGGACATATAGAGCGCGATTCCTCTGGCGAGTTTGTCGACTGGTTCTATCTCTCCCTTGGACATGCACCTTTATGCTGTATCTATCATTGTCTCTGAATGATGTGAAGTATCTTGAGTAGATTCCATCGTTCTTGATAATATCTGCACCTTGAAACAAAAATATTAAAAATTAACATCCAGGATAATGTAGAAAAGACACCAAAACTAAGCTGTATCTATCCCTCATCGAAGAAAATGTTTAATTCTATGGTTATTTACATTCAGAACCAAAGAATAGCTGTTATAGGTTAGAATTTGTCAAAATAGCTCCACAATTTTTTTTCCAATTCTATAATTCTTGGGTGTTAGATTCTATGCAACAATGGTATTGGCATAGATTTCCTGAGGCAGTAGGGATCATAGTTTATAGATTCCTAAATCTGAGGGATGATGGGATAATTTTGAATACTGTTGTGAGCCACTCAGAATTGTTTAAGTCGAATATCTTATAAGTATATCTTATAAATAAGTATTCATGCAAAATGATTGTTGGATGTACGAATTCAGCCAATGATAAAAGATTTATCAGAATGTAATTTCTGTAAGAGAGATATAATTCAGATGGTATGTGCCATGCATGATGTTTTCTGGTATGTAACATTTCTGTAAACATTCATCAATAGAAATATATTCCAAGCTTCAAACTAACAGGCATGTATAATCATATTTTTGTTAAGTGTAGATACCTATGATAATATACATTTTTTCAGAAGACTAGCTCTGAAAAGCAATGTTATGCCAATTAAATTGTAGTAATTGTAGGTAAGAAACAGACATTACCTTAAGGTTCAGTAGAATAAACTTTTGTACCTTGGTTTGCCCAAATATCTGCTTTTCTACTGAAATCAATGAATAATGAAGGAGTTCCAAGGACTTGAAATACCATAAGTACAAAAATACCCCTCGTTCTCTGGCTTAACTTTTCTGGGCCAAGTGTTGAGTGAGAAATATTTCTAATAATTACATGCTAAACTTTATATCAAACAAAATAATGATAGAATCTCACAATGTTATAAATAGAATTGTTTCATTTTCTCCCTCATTTTCTCCCAGACTTCTGCCTACAGTCCCCCAAAAAGAATAAAGCTCCCTTTTTTGTAGAAGATTAACACTTGAGGGATTTGACTTTATGACAAAGTCATGTTACCTTAGAGTTAATTATAGTTGAACCTAGATGCTATCTGTCTTTTATAGCAACAATTTTCCAAGATGTCAGACTTGAAGCATTCCGGTCACAATATAAGTTAGAAGTCTTCTCTGCCTAGATGTACTGGATTTGCTTAGCTGGTAAGCATAATATTGGGTTTTGTTTAAATATTGAGCATTTTTTGCACTCTCTTCTTTCATGCTCAACAAGAGATTGCTTAGGTCTTGCTTCTAGCCATTAAAGTTGTATCATTAGTAGATCTGGGGTTGTTATTTCTCTCATTAATTTTATTTCGAGTTTCTGTTCCTACCAGTTCAGCATTTCTCATGCTAAAGTCTACATTTAAGTTGTATGAATAAAGAGACAATGTGCAAACTTAGTACAATTGAACTGAATTAATCTAGAAGCATTGTCTGACAGTCTAAGTCACTGGCTACAGGTAGTCTTGAACCTACGATGTTCATTTAGTGACGGTTCAAAGTTGCAACAGCACTGAAAATGTGACTTATGACTGTTTTTCACACTTAGGACCATTGCCGCATCCCCATGATCACATGTTCAAAATTCAGATGTTTGGCAACTGGGTTCATATTTATGACGGTTGCAGTGTTCCAGAGTTATGTGATCCCCTTCTGAGAATCAAAGGCAATGGGGAATCCAGATTCATATAACAGCCGTGTTACTAACTTAACAAATGCAATAATTCACTTTAACAGCTGTGGCAAGAAAAGTCATACAATGGGGCAAAACTCACTTAAGCAATGCTTCACTTAGCAATATAAATTTTGGGCTCAACTGTGATTGTAACTTGAGGACTACCTCTATTTATGTCTTGGGGAGCAAGTTTTGCTACATCAAGCTAAGAAGGGGTGTGATAAAGCAATACAACACACAACAGAACGAGAGTAGAGCAGAAGGACACTGGCCACAAAAAGCTTTCCAAAGATAATCCAGCACAGTTCATTTTTCCTCCAAGCAAGCAGCTACAACGATGCAAGGAGCTCAATAGACACAATGAAAGTGGCCAAATATGTGTTTGTGATCTAGAAGGCTACCACCATTATCACTATTTATGATCTTAGAGCACAAATGTCAAACGTGTCACGGCTGTATCACGTCACGTGCTGGATTGTGATGTATCATGTCCTTTTTTGTCTTTGCAGAGCTGGGGTGGGCATGTTCTGTGTGGGCTATATCTGGCCAATGGGCCACCCATTTGACAGGCTTGCTAGAGTAAACAGTAGTAAGACAATTATCTGAGTTCACGTGAGTAAGTTCCTCCATCTTGAATATTATGTATTATTATGAAAAATATATAATACAAACATTCTTCCAAGTACACTTACCAGAACCTGTGTCCCAAAGCTCTAGTTCCTCACGTGCATTTTTTGATTCGATTGTGGCTGTAACACTTGCGCCAAGCACTGGCAAAAGTCCTTGACTGACTTCTGCATAAATAATTATTGGATTGGGAAAAGCATTTGTATCACTGCTTACATAGGCCTTCACAGTTGCTGGAGGTTCTGTTAGAGATGCCGCTCGAGATGTTACTGTGATTGATAGCACCTGAGCCTTTGAGTATCTATTATAAAGCGCATAAATCCAATCTCCTGTCTGCAGATGAAGATTTGGAAGTAAAATATTATTAAATATTCACTCGGCATAGTCTGGGAGATATCAATGCAGTTTTGATTTCTCTGTATACTGCATTTCATAAGGATAAATAGACATTTGTATATGTAGGAATTTTAAAGAGTTGGGCAGCAGAAGCCCATTCATGATCACTTGTGAAGTCTCCAATTTTAGTTCTGCAGTTTGCACGCAGCATTTTTGCACACAGTTGTCCACATATTGGTTTTCATATGAACTAAGGTCCCATAATTTAATAATTGTGGCTCACATGTGAAAGATTTAATTATGATGTAGCTGCTTGCAATTAACAACATCATTAACATTAATTGACTGTATCATTTGAAGGATGTCCATAGAAGATGTAGCTTTTGCCAGAACACTATACTTAAAGAAATGCCATCATGGGGCTACACAAGAGTGCCCATATGATGACTCCCTTTAAGAAAATCTTCATCAATCCAATTCTTCTACGTCCTGCAATTGCAGTTTCCAAAAATTCCAATGAACATAGCTAAATATGATTTCAGTTTTATGCTACAGTGGAAATACATTGCTAGTCCAGTATGATTTTTCCCAAATGAAATGAATGGGCAAATTAATGGCACCAGCTAACTGTTGCAGCAAAGAAAAAATTGAAACATCAGGCCACTCCTTTTAAAGACTTGGTTATTTCTATGTCTCAATTACCCATCTTATAGGAACTTCAGAAGATAAAGTAATTGTACTAATTTAGCTTAAGGTGTTCCAAAATTTATTAGTATATCGCTTGCACCTCTGAAGTAGACCTGTTTGTCTATGGGCTAAAAGGAACATTAAAATTATAACTTTAATGTTAACACAACTTCCTTGGTTGAAAGAAAGGCACGTATTTTACCTCAGCAGTCCCATCAATCTTAAGCCGACCAGTTTTGAGATTGGTGTTGTCAACTGCAAAATCGTTTTGTTTATATGTTTTTCCTTTTGGATCCATCAGAAGAATTTCAGGTTTAGAAGAGGGTTCACTCCATGTAACTACAAAAAAAGTGTCATTTCCTACAGTATGATCGATGGATACAGTACCATTAATAGAATTGCCGGAATCAACTTTCTGACTTTTACTTTCAAGCTATAAGTAAAAAGAAGACAACATTATAATATTGCAAGAAAATACTGTGATTGTAACAAAATGTATTTAATTAGTTTGGGAGTATCTCATCAAGGGTAAAGTGGAGTACAAAGCTATATAAGGTTAAATAATAAATGCTATTTATTCAATGATATTGTTACATATTTCTAGTGCAACAACCACGTGACATAGCACTATCTCTCCCTCATATTACAACAAATCGTACCTATCTATCTAGATTTCTATAATCTTTGTAATTTTTATAAGTAATTAAATATTTCTATTACGATAATAATGTTCTACAGAAAGTCCTTGACTTACAATACAATGTTTGAAGTTACAACAGCATTAAAAAAAAGTGACTCATGACCATTTTTCACCCTTATAACTGTTGCAGCATCCCCATGGTTATGTGATCAAAATTCAGATGCTTGTGACTTCTGGGTTGAGCCCTCCTTGCTGACAGACTGTAGATCGTGACTGTCCACAGCTATGGTCTGGGCTCTTTCATTGGAGAGCCCCAATCATTGTATTAGGAGCTGAAGCTGCCTTGGAGGGGCGGTGGAGTAAGGGGAAGCCACAAGCCAGGTTGAGGGGAGCTGCGTCTCCCCTCCTGGGCTTGGTCTTTTTCTCCCCGAAGAGGACTGAAGTGGTGGTCCAAAATGGCCACCCCAAAGAGGAGGACTCAGCTGGACTATTTGTGCAGGAGGGAAGAAAGAGGTGGATAACATCTGAACTGGGACAATTAGGTGAAACAATTAAACAAAAAGTACCCTGGGATTAAGGTAACATTGAACTTTTAAGAAAAGAAAAGTGAGTGGCAAAAATACAAAGGGACAGGAAAAAATAAGAAGATAATTTTGAAAGCTAAGCGGGGCTTCGAACCGGGAAAGGAAGAAGCTAGAACTAAAGACTTAATTAAATTGGATTAAAATATGTTGGTAATAAACAGGCATAAAATAAAGCTGGACTTAACGATTGTCAAAAAATAATAAGAATAAAATTTACAAATTGGAGACTGGATTGTGCTAGAATATTGAGGTTCAAAAAACCCTAAATAAAAAAAACAGGGGAAAAAGGTGAAGACTTTGTATAACGGAGAGTGCCATCTTCTGACAAAAACTTGAACTCAAACAAAAGGAAAAGCATCTTGTTTCTGTATGAACTTGTGTTGATATAATGTTAAAGAAACATTGAAACAAAGTAAGAATCTTAGAAAGTGATAGCTGAACCAGAATAAAGAAAGAAGCAAGGAAAGACTGATTGTGGGATTGATTGATGTTTTTGGTATAGACCCTGGGCTGGAACAATTGAGAACTTTAGAAAACTGGAAGAAGAAAGAAGGAAAGTAAATGTGTTTTTTGTGGACTTCAACAAGTATAAAATATAAGAGTGTGCAATGATGATATCTCTTTGGGAATTAAAAATGGAACTTAAAAATATGAGAGAATTACTACAGGAAAGAAGCGAATCACTTTGCTCTGTGTTAGAAGAAATGGAAATGGCGATTGAAGAACAAGAAGAAAGAACTTCAGAGAAGGAGGAGTCGATTCAAGGAGAAGCCATCTTGAATAGATAATTAACACAAAGAACACTACAAAGACGAGGGGAAAGAAGGAAGACTAAAAAGTTGAGATTTAAGAAGGTAATCAAAAAGGGAAATACCTGTGAAATCAGGAGAGGTAGAAAGATCCAGTAGAAAAGGGGAAAGGAAGATATCAAGAAAGAGAGAGATATAAACCGGAATGAGAAAAGATATGGGAAAAAGAGTGGGAGGAGAGGCAGTAAGAAACAGGTTCCTGAAATAAAGATAGATATCACACACTGTTAATGTTAATATTTATATGTTTTGTTTCATTTTTAAAGATATAAAAGATTAATAAAGTTTAAAAAAAAAGAAAAAGAAAATCACTATGCAGAACATAAAAGATTGGCACAATACATCCATGAATGACAATTGGCAGTCAGAAGACATGATAAAATGTCTTTAATTTCACCAGACACAGAGAAGTTCAATCACAGTTTCAACTGGGAATGTGTAAATATTTTAGACCAAGCCAAGTCTAAGCATGCAAGAGAATTTCTAGAAACATGGAACATTTGACAAATTACGTTCCATTTACAAACCATTCAGAAGGAATGGTCAAAGGAAGGGACAAATAAATTGGAGAAAGTATAAACCCTACTCGCTACTGATCATCCAGTGTTGTTAAGAGTCAGGTAATATAGGCATTTAAAAATAAATAAATAAATAGCCTTCAAATACCTGAATTGACTCCTGATAAATATTTCCACTTCCTGATGAAATTCCACTGAAAACATCAATGAGGCCATTGGGATCCAAGACATCAAAGGCAGCAAATTTTAATCCCCCTAAATTAAGATTGAGATATTTGAGATAATCTATGAGATTCACTAAAATATTTGCATTTTATTTACCTTAGGGATCAGCAATGCAGGACTAGCAACAATCCAAATATCATTTGCAGACCATCTCATTTTTGTTAAAAAATATTAATAGTTATGATTAAAAAGATACAAACCAACACAAACTAAAAAAATAAAAGAATGAAAAGAAAAAATAGAAAGTGCAAAAATGAAAAAATAAAAAGCAAAAAATAAATAAAAAGGAAATATATATGAATAAATGATTTCCTGCTTCATCAAAAGTATAAATAATTTTAGTAATTTATTGCCTCCTCTGAAAATACAACAAATGATATCTTCTTCCCATATCCAATCTTTTATTTATAAACAAATCCTTAATGATTTGTCATTCAGTCCTGATCAGAAAACTCTAGAGAGTTACTAGAGATAAAAACATCTCTTCTAACATTGATCATATAAACCAACTTTATATTACTTCCTTTTAATTTTAACAATCTTGATCTTCAAATTGTGTTTTAGTGCTTGATTTCTTTTTATTGTTTTATCCCTTCGTACAAAATTGTTCAAGGCTTTAACAAGCCTCTTTTGTAAATCCAGTATAGGAAAATTATCCAGGCCATTCTTTTATTTTGGTATTTGTCCCTTTTAATTATTAAGGCATCAACTGTTTTTTTTTGTGTCCAGTGGATGGAATATCTTTTTCCATATCATTCTTGTAGTCTGTCATTTTTAATCCCTTTTCAGTTCAGTCTCAATCTTGTCAGTTAAAATTTGTTCCTCTTTCATAATATCTTTGAAACAGAGTCTATACATAGAGGCAATATTCCTCAATATGTCCAATGTTAGAAAAAATCATTATCAATTAATTAGTCAAACTTTCTTCTCTTTTAAGTGAAATAATGGTTCCCTCTAGTATCCAACCTTCAAAGTTTCATCCCATCCTTTTTTTTTTTTTTCAAATAGAATTCAAAACAAAAGTATTTCCCCATGGAAGTATTCTTGTCACTAATTTCAAAATCTTACTTCAAAGTTATATAGACTCTTAGTCTATTTGTAACTTTTACTGTTTAATCCAAAAGGAAAAATAAATAAATCTTTAAAATGGTAACTAAATCTTCTTTCACTGAGGTTTGAAGGAAACACACACACCTATCAGTCACACACCTATCAGTCCAAAGGTTCCCAAAAGCAGAAAAACAGTCAACAAGCAATTTCCCAAAAGAAAGTATGTGAACGGAGTGTCCTTTTGAAGGCACCAATCATGGTTTGAGTAAGATTGCTATTCCTTTGTCTCCCAGAGCTCTTAAATCTGCCAAAGGCTACAGTTTTGCAGTCTCATTGCCAGGAACAATTGTCTGGAGTACTTGTGGGAGATCTCAAGTCCTCTCCTTGTCTGGAGAAAAATTATGAAGAGCTGTTTCACTACCTGGGTCTTCATTCTACTAGTTTTTGTCTATTTACCATTTCTTCTCTGGAGGCACAGACTCTCCTTTCATTTAAATGGAGAAGAAGGAATTAGAATGATGTTGCTAACAAAACTGAAGAGTAAGATTACTAAGTTTATGCAAAGTTTGGTGATCTCGGAATATTTGGGATGATTTTTTGCATTGATAATTGGGAGGCAGAAGTCTGTTTTCAGACAAATTTGATTGTCCCTGTGCTATACAAATATATTATTTATTTAAACTTGAGATGATTATGTTTAGGAAGACCTAGGTCCTTATTCCTTTCTTCACTGCTTTCTTCATAATCAAGTGAGAAGCCCATTGTGTTGTACGTGTAGTCAGGACAACATATTTTAGAAATTATCTAAAGCACAAGGAAGGGCAATGAGAATGGGACAAGGAAGCAGAACTAATACAGTTTGGGTATTGACACTATATACTTTGGGTATTATTGTAATACAGTGGAACCTCGGGTCACGAACACTTCTGTTTGCAACCAAATCGGATGAAATCAAAGTTTTTGCTTCTGTTTTGCTTCTGGTCAAACAAACCCCAAAATTGCCATGGCGATTTTCCCTGCTGTGATGATTTTCCCTTCAGCACCATTTTTTTTAGTTTTTTGGGTCTGCGCATGGACAGATGGTCGTGCTTCTGGTCATGACCAAATCGGGTTGCAACCGTAGTCCTGGAATGGATTATGGTTGCAACCCAAGGTTCCACTGTATCATTTTAGAATACCTGAAGGCAGAACATGACATATGGTGACTATGAGGATAAGATCACATTTTCTGAATCACCATTTTTATTGCATAATACTGGAAGCCATTCAAAATATGTAGCTCACTTTACCTGTCATACTTGATAGCATTTCTAACTCTTTTGCAGCACTTGGCCCCAAAGCAATGGTGTGAATTATTGATCCACTAGTTTTAACTTCATTAAAGCAAGATTGCATTCCTGAGTCTTCTCCATCTGTCAAGAGCACAATTTCACTTCCTTCAGTACTTCCATCTGTTAATCTAATCACCTGTATTAATAAATAAATAAAATAAAATATTAGCAGAACAGGGAATGCAGTATAAAACTCATGGAAAGCTCTTTAAAATGAAGATGCTGGATAAAATTCATAGAATAATTATATAAATGACTTGTAATAAAAATTATAGTATGTTTCCCCAGCTGCCATAAAGTAGTGTTGCATTCCTTAGGAATCATTACCTATGTAATAAAAGCCAGAGTAGGTACTTCCTGTGTTCTTATAAAATCAGAAATAGAATGAGGGGAATCCCTTGCTGAATCCTCCTACAATATTTAACACATTCCTGTGTTTTCTAACACGGGGTCCCCAAACCCCGGTCCCTGGACCGGCATTGGGCCATGATATGCCAGAAAGCGGGCTATGCAAACAAGTGAAGCCTCATCTGCAGGATGCAGGCAGCACACAAAACCATGCCCTCTCCCATCCACAGAAAAACCTCACTCCTCAGAACGGTCCCTGGTGCCCAAAAGGTTGGGGGCTGCTATTCTAATACATTGCATACATTTTATGTCATGATTAATGAGATCAGCTCAAGCTAAAGAAAGAATTTGTCAAATCTAAGATCGAGATGGCTTCACAATTTTCATCTTCCATTCCTCACAGTCTGCCTTGTGGGATATTGTTTATAACATCTGCATTTGGAAGCATGTTCCTCTTCTCTTTATAGGAAAAAGTTCTTTCTACAGGTAGCCCTCAACTTACAATCATTTTTAGTGATTGTTTGAAGTTAGAACAGCACCGAAAAAACTTGTTTATATCTGGTCTTCACACTTATAATCATCATAGCATCCCCATGGTCAAGTGATCAAAATTCAGGCACTTGGCTACCAGCATATATTTGTGACAAATTGCAGCATCCAAGGGCCATCTGATCACCATTTGAGGTCTTCGCAGCTGGCTTCTAACAATCAAAGTCAATAGGGGAAACCAAATTCACTTAACAACCTCATAATCCACTTTAAACAACACTGTGGCAAATAAGTCATACAATTGGGCATGACACACTTAACAGCTGTCTTACTTATAACAGAAATGTGGTCATAGGTTGAGGACTACCTGGAGTATACCACTAAATATGAAAAGAGTACACGGAGCTGTTATTAAACGCCATTCTGATATTTTTAACTTATGAAACTTCACTGTAAGAAGTGCTTCAAAGTGAATCATGTGTCAGAAATTGGCCTTCAGGCTAATTCAGTCAACAACAATTTCAATGCCGGCCTCTCTCAAAAATTAATATGGGAATTCTACTTTTAATTGGTTTTTAATAATTAGGAAGAGAAGCTCCCACTGGATAGAAAGGCATCTTTTTGCCTCTCATTTTCCACACTGATAGGAGATGATGGATCTTATCTGACCATGAATTCCATTGGATACTGCCCAGGATATTCCCCCAAAATAAATTTAATAAATGCAATTTAAATTTTTTAAAAATGATCAAAATACCATCAGATCTCCATAAAAGAACACTTGATAATGAGACTTGTAATTTTAAAATGTGTCTGTGTGCATGTGTTAATTTCAGTAGGCATCTATTAAAGCTCTGGTACCTGTGACTACTGCCAACCAGAAGTGGGGTATTCAGCAGGTTCTAACCAGTTCTGGAGAACCGGTAGTGGAAATTTTGAGTAGTTCGGAGAACTGGCAAATACCACCTCTGACTGGCCCCGCACCCATCTATTCTCTGCCTCCTGAGTCCCAGCCGATTGGCTGGGTCTTCTTTTGTTCCCCTGCACAGGAGAACAGAGCTGGAAAGCAGGTTAGTGGGGTGGGGAGGGAATGAGATTTTGCAGTAACCTTCCCCTGCCACGCCCACCAAGCCACGCCATGCCCACCAAGCCACGCTCACAGAACCGGTAGTAAAAAATTTGAATCCCACCACTGCTGCCAACCCAGCTTTATCAGGCTGAAAAAAAAAATTACAATGATTGGATGATATAATTGCTTCATGTTTCTTTTAAAACACCAGCACGAGCTCACTATACAACATGTGTCTAGGGGGGAAAAAAGAAATAAAAGTAATGGGAGTATGTTTTCTTTCACCTCAAATCCTTTGCGCAGTCCAGCACAAATATTAGTCCCTCCACCAGCTGTGGTAGGCAAAACATTCACAAGATTCTGCCGTATGTTGTCACTGACAATCTGCTGCAAGCCAGACGGAACGGTGGCAAAGCTTTGAAATGTTACAATTCCAACCCAGGAACCAGTTTCAATAATTTGTAGGAGGAACACTTCTGCAGCTTGCTTGAGACGAGCAATGCGGTCATACTGCATAGAAAGAAAAAAGGATGGAAGATTGTTCAATGCTGCCTGAACAATCATTTCAAATGCCTTTTTTTTTGGCCAAATTCATTTAAAGGCAGAAACAGCTGGCCTTCATCCAACCCTGATTCAAAGTTCCAACAGCTTGTTCAAAATCTGTAACTAGACATTTATTCTATTTGGGAGAGATTGCCTTCTCTGCCCCCCCCCCCCCCCGTGTTTTTTTCTATTTTAAAATGAATTGGTCAACTGGTGATTAGTTGGATGAAAAAGTATGAAATTCTGAAATTGAGCATTGCTTTCCTGCAGAGGATTTGGCCTTTGTATCCTCAACTTACAACATTTTATTTAGTAACTCTTCAAAGTTACAACAGCATTGAAAAATGGTACTTATGACCGTTTTTCAGAGTTACGGCCTTTGCAACACCCCCCGATCATGTGATCAACATTCAGATTCTTGGCAACTGGTTCATATTTATGACCTTTGCTATGTCCCAAGGATCATATGATCCCCTTTTGCGACCAAATGACAAGCAAAGCCAATGGGGGAAGCCAGATTCACTTAACAATTGGGTTACTAACTTTTCTACTGACAGATATTCATGTAACAAGAAAGTGGCAAAAAATATTGTAAAATGGGGCAAAAACTCAACAAATGTCTCCCTTAACAACAGAGATTTTGGGCTCAATTTTAGTTGTAAGCCGAGGAATGCCTGTACTTCTCTGACCTATATCACAGGGAATTCCCTCTTCAGTAGTTGCTGTTCCTAGGGAAGTCAAAGTCTTTACTTCCTTTCCTCAAATAATCTTCTTAAGGTAGTTTCCAGCTTCTAGATTGATTAAAAGTCTTTCTTAAACTCCCACTCCTCAAAAATTCTTATCCAGCAGCAAGAAATGCACTGATTGATGGTGCCAAAAGATTTAAAAACTTAACTTGCTACTGCCTTAATGATCAAGTGGTCAAACTGTTGATGGCTGACCCAGAGTTACCTTTGAAAGTGTAGTTGAACAATGGCACAATAAGAAAGAAAGAAAGAAAATGCAGTGATGGAGTAACCCCAGAGAACTGCATGTGCCAATTGGAGGAGTCTTTTCAAACAGTGGATTATGTTGATCAAGATGAACTTTCTCTTGGGGAATGACAAATCATTGAACTGTTGCAAAGTTCCATGTTCCATATGGGTTTGTGGACAGCTGCATACTAGAAACCCTTTATGTTCAACATTAAGTGTGTGCTGTGGAGCTTTTAGGGAAGCAATTCAGGACAGGAAGAGGGCATGACAAACCAGATGTGTGGATACAGTGTGGACATCTTCCCCACTCTCCAACTATCTTACAAAACCCTGTTTCTAAGGCCTGTATAACATTCTTGGATCATATCTATCCTCTTGGATAACTTTCCCCTTTTTCATATCAATTAAGCAACTATAATTTACTACAGTTTCATAAATGCTAATGTTTATAAAAAGAAATGCATATTAATTAGAAGTGGTTGAATATCAGTAATTAATTAACAGCTAACCCACCATTCCTATAAAAATTGTTTTGAAGATTTTTGCTAAAAGAATCTTCTAATGCTGCACTTACATCTCGCATGCTTCCAGAGACATCAAGCACTAAACAGACAACTCTGTCACGTGTTTGCATCAAGGTGAAAATGGGCTCAGGTGGAGGAGTACTTATTACAGATGAAGAGGCAAAGTCAGTGGAATTCATAATTACTTCCCACGTACTCTTATAGCTGCAGAATTTGTTTTGCAGATTTGGTGCTTCGACATTATGATTGCTTTTATTACAGAACACAGTAACCTAAAAAGATAAAAGTAAGAATTCATCAGCAGGACAAATATTAGATTGACTTAAATGCTTTACATTAGTTATACTTACAGAAGGTAGACTTTGCATATACATTATAGATACTGGAGTGCTTTGGGATTTATTTGGTACAAATTGGCATCCTGGTTCATACATCTGAGTGTCCTGCAGGAATATGCACTCTCTGTGTTGTCCTGGTGCAGTTGGAAATATGTAAATACCAGTGACACTAGCTGAACATCTAAATGATATAATAAAAACATACATAATTTACAAATGAAAAAGTATGACATGAATATAAAAAGAGAAAATTTATTTCAAATTGAGCTTGACTTGTGATAACTTTTGGGGTACATGCATTTCATTTTCTTTTCAAGAATACTCAAGTGGTTTGCTGTTGTCTTGTTCCAGGACGTTTTTCAACTTCCCAGCTTAGCCTAAAGCTCGAGTGATCTTGGTCTCCCATCCAAATCAGGAGATGTTTATATTCTGCAAGCTTGAACTTTGAAAAAGAGTATTAACAATTCTGAACATTGATAATGGAGGGACTTCTAGACGCTTCTAGGTAAGAAATGGGGAACTGAAGATAGCTTCAAGAAAAGCAGAGCTGGCCACCATAGAGGAATGAAGATCCATGAATTGACCAACTCTGTGAAAATTCTTCTACGGACAAGAGATCACCCACCAATGGGTCAAACATCTGGTCCTCCCAAGATGAGGGTCCTTGATGGAGTTCTGGGAGAAGAGGGGCTAGTCATCTTGCTCAAATCACAGTGGACACCTTTGAAAGGACACCAAGTTTGCATCCTTCCTTTTCTAATCATTTGGAAATTACTTGTTAACTGCATTTCAGCTATTAGGAACTTTGGCATTCACTTGTTTTACAGCACCAAGTAAATTTCCTTCAATCCTTAGTGACAGAAAATCTTTAAACTACAAGTTTGAGAACTAAACAAAAGTGTTTTTGAATAAACAGGAAACCAAACTGGACTAAGAGCCCAGATAATTTTGAAATATGTTTTTTTTAATTAATTATAAACAAAAATTCCCATGATATGGAAAAAGATGTCACACTGGATTATACAAAAGAAACCATTGTCTTAATAGCTTAATAATTGAAAGAAATATACAATTAACAAACCAAGAGAGTGACAATAGTTATTATTTGGATAATAATTGGATTCTTGATCAAGAGGCAAATAGGAAATTGATGAAGTACTGAAGTCTAGTCACTGCAGCCAACCAGGTTAATTTAAGTTTAGGAAGATACCTTGTTGCTTCAACTTTTTTTTCCTTAGTAACATAAAAAGGAGCATCATAATTGTATTCATCAAAGACACCCCATCTGAGATGAGCCCATTCATGAACAAAGACTCTACCTGGAAGAAAAAAGTAAAACAACTGAATTGTAACACAATAATTTAAATTTACAAGAGTCAGTAAAAAGTTGGTGTTATGTGTATGTGTTTTAATGTTCTGGAACTGTGGCCATATCATTGTTAGTGGGTATTTAACGGTGATTCCACTGAGAAAAATTTTGGAAGGGAAGCTGTATTTAAGTCTATGTGCAACTGCAAATTCATTAAGTATAGCATAGATAGCTTGCTGCACAAAATTGAAAGTGCCTTCTCTATCCTATTACTAAACATGCAGACTCCTTTTGAATCTGGCCATCCTCTGACTAGATCCAGGGTATGATAGCTTCAGGCTGGGAGCTGTATTGTTCAGTCTAAAATGCAGACTTTGTTAAACTTTTGCCTGAGTTTTGACCCTTTTAAAAGAAGTGACCAAGGGAGATCAGACATTTATTTTTTCATGAACTTTCTTATTTCATTGGTTATTGTTCAGTCTCTGTCTATTGAAGGTTTCATTAGCGAGAATGGAAAAAAGCTACTCTCAATTAATTATATTACCTCGAGATCCATAAACATCCTGCAAATTGTCATTTGTCAGAAATGTTGGCGTGAAATGAATGTATCTCCCTGGTATCCCACAACCTCCAAACTGCAGGGTGTAAGGATCATCTCCAGATTTCAAGTAAGGATCAGCTACTATGATGTCAGCCTAAAATAAAATAACAAGGGGCATATTTTAAAGATCAGTAAAGAAAAAGTAGATAATACAAAATCATCCCTAGTTTGAAATTACCTATAATGAATACATCTTTTTTGGTACTTAACTGACAAGATATTACACACAGGCATGGAAGCAGTGGTGGGATTCAATTTTTTTTACTACCGGTTCTGTGGGCGTGGCCTGGTGGGCATGGCAGGGGAAGGATACTGTAAAATCTCCAGTCAGAGGTGGTATTTGCCGGTTTTCTGAACTACTCAAAATTTCCACTACTGGTTCTCCAGAACTGTCAGAACCTGCAGAATACCACCTCTGCATGGAAGCAGTCAAACTTAGCTGCCTCTGCATCTGAAACTTGGATCACCTGAATAATGAAAGGTTTGGCTGATATTCATATGACTTACTCACATTAAATGTATCTATAATTCATTTAAATACATAGCAGAGATGGCGAACTATTGTCCTCCTTAATTCCTTGCAGCCACACTTAGCAGGGGAAATATTTAGGAAAGTGAACAGTTATTCTTCAGCAATATCAGCAACAACTTTGCAATACTGAGTCATTTTGTTAGATCCTTCACATCACAACAAGAAACCAATTACCGTAAAACATCAATTTAGTGGACTATTATTTAGCAGACTTGAAAACGATTGAGTAAAATTTTCATCTAGATATCATTGCTTCCTGAAAATAACAGGCAAATCTGTTACAGCCCAAATGGTTCAGACAAATTAGATACATTTATGTTAATTTCACCTTAATAGTGTCATTATAGAAGTAAAACAAATTATATTATCTATGTCAGTTTCTATAATGTTGTCACTACATAAATGGTGAAAATTACATTATTTCCTTAATTATATTGTTGTATAAATGATATAAATAGACCCAAAGAAGCACTTTGGGATTTAGCAGATCTTTGGGAATAATGTATATATCTTCCCTCAAATAGTCCATTAAGTTTTAGTGTTTAAAGGTCCGGAATTATTATTTCCCAGCAATGGGCATAAAACTCACAAGCTGGCACTTTAAGTTAATAATTTTGCTGTCATTGTTTGACTGCAAAGGTCATAGGACATGTGTGTCCAAACTTTGGTTTGCCTGGGTCACATTGAGTGAAGAGGAATTGTCTTGGGCTGCATATAAAATATAGCTAATAATACACTTAAAGTATCTAAATAACAAACTTCCTTTATTTGGGGGAATTGTCATGTGGGACTGCATTACTAGCTTTCCAGGGTTGCATGTGATTCGCGGCCTGTGGGTTTAGACACAGGGTCTGGCATACAGAAAGGCCTTGAAGGTGAGGGAGAAAAGCTTCTGCCCAGGCAACAGTCAGATAAGTGGGACTTGAGCCCAGCCTAGTCCAAGAAAATAACTTGGAAAAAAATGTATTAGACATACCCCTTCCTAGTTCAAAGGAAGATAAAGTGAGGGCAGCGGGAAGTGCATTCCTTGCCAGATTCTATTACTATATGTTTTAGAATAAAACTAGTCCTGACGTTGTTTCTTAATAAAGGCCATTTGTAGGCTGATATTGATTCAATTGCAAACTTTCTGTAAATATAGAGTTTAGTTATAAACCCTGTGAATGTCACAGCTGAAGTATCTTAAAATCGTACATTTGGAAGGGCCTTTTAAGGCTACTGTGTTTAACCCCTTGCTCAGTGCAAGAATCTGAATAAACCCAGTGTAGTTAAATTGTTATTACATTTTTGTTTGTAATAATTAGTCAGAATCTGTCTTTGTATAACTGAAATCTATTATTCTCTGGCCAGATCCCTGGAATGAGAAAGAGAGTGAGTGAAAAATTCTAAATCTGTCACCTTTTTAGTATATATAAAGTATCATATTCTATCTCAATTATTTTTTCTGAAGAGTAAACTATCCAGCTCTTTCAGACTCCCTTGGTAGGATTCTTAAAAGGCAAATGCCCTATCAAAGCAACTGCAATTGGAAAAGGCAATTGAGTTATAAGAACAAAATCAGAGACCAGAAGCTATATGATAGTTTCTGTCTCTTAAAATATCACATATTTTTGAAGAACATTCTCACTTACTTTTTCGTAGGATTCTCTTATTACTCTTTTGTACTCTGTTTTTTGTGACCATGTCAATGGAATTAAAATTTTTACAGACTTAAAGTAAAATCTTCGTTCTGTAGCAGTGATGAGATACTTGGATGCTTCTTTAACCATATCCTAATAGGAACACAAAATACAAATATATTTACTTTGTTGTGAGCTGTCAATAGTTACTGCCTAGGGTTCTGTACATTGCATTTATTTTGTTCTGCTTAGCACTCTCATGTGATCTAATACTTATTTTGGGGTTTCACATGCAGTCTCAAAAAATGTGAATGGTGCTACCTATACCACAACCTCCCAGAATCAGAAAATCACAAATTATGTTCTTGCATCTTTTTCTGTCCTTTCTATATTCATTTTTTTCTTGAACACTTAACAAAATCTTGACATTCAGGAAATAACCTCATCTGCTACACTGAGAAATTATGAAAAAGAATTAAAAGTTTTACCTTTAAATATGAATAAGTTCCATTAAAAATAAAACTATGAAATAATTATGCGTTCCTAAATCATCTTGCCAAAGCTCACAACCTTGTTTAATATATCAAAAATACTTTTCTTTCACCTTTTTATGCATTTCCCTCACTTTTTATATAGTGAATTTTGGTTTCCATAATCTCAGTAAACATGTTCATTGGCCATGTTGATTAAAAATGATTCAACTTCAGTTTGAAATTGTAGTTCAACTTCAAAAACATCAGGATGGGGAAGCCAACACTAATATGATATATAGTGCCAGACAGTAGTGGGATTAATTTTTTTTTTTTACTAACAGTTCTATGGGTGTGGCTTGGTGGGTGTGGCAGGGGAAGGATACTGTAAAATCTCCAGTCAGAGGTGGTATTTGCCGGTTCTACGAACCACTCAAAATTTTTGCTACCGGTTGTCCAGAACTGGTCAGAACCTGCTGAATACCACCTCTGGCGCCAGAGATCAAATTATTACAATTATATGAAATGAAGGAGGATTGCTTCATCTCTCCTTCAAAGAGGTAAAGGAGCGTGAGTAGCTAACAATTAGCCACATCTGAGCATGGAATGCTTTTAAAATGGAACACAAAGTCCGTATGATAAAGGGCAGAATTTTGGGTCTGAGCAATCAAGTTGTTTGAAACGTTTATGAATTTCTTTGGAGTTTCATAAAAATGAATGGTGGGACTTTATAGTAGAAGCAGGGGTACACTTACACAGCACGAAATAGAGGAAAGCATTACTAAAAGGACAAAAGGCTCCGAGCTGGAGAGCAGGAGACTGTGAGTTCTTTGGCCTTAGACATAAAACAACTGGATGACCAATTGGGACAGTCACTCTTTTTCAGCCCAATACATCTTACAGGGTTATTGGGAAAATAGGAAAAAGAGGATGGGTTGAATATGTTCGTTGCCTTGAGCTGTGTGTAAAAATAATAATTGCAGGATACAATTAAATAAATACAATATTAAACAGAATCAATTTGCATGATCACTAGAGAGAGATAAAAATACATCTATAAGCTACAATTTAAACAAATATATTTTAGCTAGAAAACTTGTTTATTAGTTGAGATTTGTGCCTATTCAGTCTGCTGCCTATCAAAAAAGGTCTCTTTTCTTATCATCAAATTGGTCTTGAATTGCCCAGTTCCTTGACAGAGGAAGCTGTTTACTGTAACACACACACACACACACACACACACACACACACACACATCTTTCAATTTACCTCATTATTTACAAAAGGCAAATAGATTTTAGCACTACATATCTAGCATAATTTTTAATGTATTATAAAGTTAATATATTCAGAAATGTCTAATTTTCATACCTTTATGTTGGTAATAATTTTGTCATCTTCAGCTATCATTGGATTAATAGCAATAACAATGTCTTCAAAGCCATTATTGTTGAGGTTGATCATGGTGCCCATTATTCCATGTAGTAGCATCATTACCACCAAAATGTCCTGAGTGAGTGCCATCTTTGTTGCCGCTACTTTCCTCACCCTTGTTGACTGAAAGGATGGCACAGAAGTATTACATATGCACATATTTATACATGCAGCCAACTCCTAAATATAGTAGGACTTTGTTCTGATGGAGTGATTCAGCTTTTGGTTATTCTTTGTATTCTCTTAGCCACATATCAACACTTCAATAAGAATTGAACTGTTCCTCATTGTGCATAATGTTGAGTGAAAGAATAACGACAATAGAAACAATGGAAGCAATTCAAAGGCAAAAAAAACAAAACAATAAACACCTGGACCAGATGAAGTCCCTGCAGAACTCTATAAAAAATCTTACAAGAGATACTAGGACCAATACTGTTGGAGGTTTACAACGAAGCACTATTAAAGGCCAAACTCCTCAAAACTTGGACAGAAGCACACATTACACTAATTCCAAAGGAAGACTCCGATTCTCAACAGATAAAAAACTATAGGCCAATATCATTACTAAATGTAGATTAGAAAATATTTGCCTCTATAATCTCAGAATGACTAAAAGGATTTTAAAATGAATTCATACATCCCAATCAAAATGACTTCTTAGCTAAAAGACAATGGAAAAATAAAATAAGGATTTTTATGAATGTATTGGAATATTGGAAAATCCACTCCGAAAAACAGTTAGCATTAATTTTTCTAGATGCGCAAAAAGCCTTCAATAATATGGACTGGCAGTTTATGATACTACAATTGAAAAATATGAATTTCAGTGAAAACTTTGTAAAGAAGATCCAAGCAATCTATTCCAATCAAAGAGCGAAAGTGATAATAAACGGAGAAATAACAGAAACATTTAATATAAATAAAGGTGTCCACTATCCCCCCTTCTATTTATATTAACTCAGGAAGTTCTACTTAAACAGACCAGACAAGACTCAGAAATAAAAGGCTTAAAAATAAAAAAAAAGAACAATACAAAATACAAGCATTTGCAGATTGGAAGAACCTCTTAAAACAGAAGTCAAATTAATAAAATAAAAAAAAATAGAACAGTTTGGTACGGTAGCAGGCCTTAAAATAACCAAGGAAGAGACTAAAATATTGACAAAGAACCTTACAAATAAACAGAAAAATGAACTGACGGAAAAGATGGGCATGCAGATAACTAAAAAAGTTAAATACCTGGAAATTTGGCTAACAGCAAGATGCACATCCATTAAAGAAGACAACTATACTAAATTAATACAGCAAATAAAGATGGATCTGGATAAGTGGAAAAACCTACAGTTGTCTGAACTGCTGTAGGACAATCTATTTTATTTTTATTTATTTTGATTTGTCAATCGCTTACAAGATAATAAGCATAAGTATATACATAGTTATGAATACATGAAATGGGTACATATAAAAAAAAATAAAAGAAACAATAGGACAGGGACAGTAGGCACCTTGGTGCGCTTATGCACGCCCCCTACAGACCTCTTAGGAAATGGGTGAGGTCAACAGTAAAAAGTCTAAGGTTAAAGTTTTGGGGGTTTGGGGAAGAAACCACAGAGTCAGGTAGAGTATTCCAGGCATTGACCATTCTGTTGCTGAAGTCGTATTTCCTGCAATCAAGTTTGGTGCGGTTAACCTTGAGTTTGTATCTATTGTGTGCTCTTGTGTTGTTATGGTTGAAGCTGAAGTATTCATTGACAGGTAAGTCATTGCAATGTATGATTTTATATACCATACTTAGATCAGACCGAAGACGGCGTAATTCAAGGTTTTCTAGGTCTAGAATTTCAAGTCTGGTGGCATAAGGTATTCTACAATGAGTGGAGGAGTGGAGAACTCTTCTTGTGAAATATTTCTGGACTTTCTCAATTGTGCTAATATCAGATATGTAATGTGGGTTCCAGACTGGTGAGCTGTATTTTATCTGGTTAGGATCACATGCAAAAAAAAAGTATCTTAAATCCCTTACTTTCCCTTTATTTTAAATTTGAAAAGAATAAGTTTTGTGCCATGGTATGTGCTAAAACAACTGATTAGTAGGCCAAATAATGTTATAGTTTGAGTAAATGTTAGTTAATGCCATCTAATCAAATGTCTTTTTTTGTTTTGCAAGCACACCTCTTTCCAGACTGCTTTAGCTTCAGAATTCTCACAACTCTCTAACCTTCATGCTAATGGGAGAATTGGCTGCAGGCACAGACTTCATTTCTCATAATCTTAAAATTTATTGAATGTTCTTAATCACTCGAGTCCTATAGATTTGTAACTATGCTAAATACAGCAAATAAAGATATATCTGGATAAGTGGAAAAACCTACAGCTGTCCCTGGTTGGAAGGATAGCTACAACAAAAATGAACGTTCTACCGAAATTGCTATTTTTATTTCAAGCAATCCCGGTAAAATTAGGAAAAAAGTTATTTGAAGACCTAAATAGACTGATTTCTAAGTTCATCTGGCAAGGCAAAAAACCAAGAATTAAAATGAAAGTGCTACAAGACACCCAAAACAAGGGTGGGTTCGGTGTCCCAGATTGGGAGCTGTATTATCAGGCTTCAATACTCACATGGGTGAAGGAGAGGATAAATTTAAAGAATAAAACAACGTTGATGATTTATTTATTTATTTTGATTTGTCAGTTGCTTGCAAGGTAATAGATATAGTAGAAACATGAGTAAGAATACAGGAAATAGGTACGAATAAATGTGGACAATAGGACAGGGATGATAGGTACAATGGTGCACTTACAGACCTCTTAGGAATGGGGTGAGGTCAATAGTGGATAGTTTGAGGTTAAAGGAGTGGGGGTTAGAAGATGTGACAACAGAGTCAGTCTTTGACCACTCTGTTGCTGAAGTCGTACTTCCTAAAATCAAGTTTGAAACGGTTTACATTGAGTTTGTACCTGTTGTGTTTCTTCTTGCTTCTTTTTTCTACTTTCTCTTCCTGGAGTTCTATTATTTTGTTGCCAAGTTTCAGTTAAAATGTATCTTTTAGGAATCTTGTTAAGGTTTCACTGTAGATTCCTTTTAGTTCCATGCAGTCTCCTCATTTTTACATTTTCTCTTGTATTGTTGGGTTGAAGCTGAAGTAGTCATTGACTGGTAGGACATTGTATCAGATAATTTTGTGGGCTATGCTTAAATCTAACTGTAGGCAGCGTAGTTTAAGATTGTCCAAGCTCAAAATCTCAAGCCTGGTGATATAGGGTATTCTGTTGCAAGCAGAGGAGTGTAGTACTCTTCTCATGAAATACTTCTGGACTCGCTCAATTGCATTAATGTCTGATATGCAGTGCGGATTCCAGACTGATGAGCTATATTTGAGTATTGGTCTGGCAAAAGTTTTGTATGTTCTGGTTAGCAATTTGATATTTCCGGAGGAGAAGCTTCGTAAGATTAGATTTATAACTCTTAATGCCTTTTTGGCAATGCTGTTACAGTGAGCTCTAGCGCTTAGGTCATTTGATATGAGAACTCCAAGGTCCTCATATCCGCCTAGTTTGTATTTGGTGTACTGATTTTTTTTTACCAGTGTCTAGGACAGAGCATTTGTTGGTCGACATTTGGAGTTGCCAGATGTTTGACCGGATTGGGAGCTGTATTATCAGGCTTCAATACTCTCACGGGTGAAGGAGAGGATAAATTTAAAGAATAAAACAATGTTGGTAATAGAAGGACATGATTTACAACTGGGGTGGCATGCATTCATATGGTACGGGAAAAATAAATCACAAAGATACTTCCAAAGGCACTACATTAGAAATGCTCTGTTGTCAGTATGGGAAAAAATCAAACAGAACCACTACATGAAAATACCGGTCTGGCTGTCCACGAGAGAAGCACTAATATACCCTAATGTTTGAGATCCAGATAAGATTGTAAGATATAAAGATATACTTAATGAACAGGGAGATCTAAAATCTAAACAGGAACTAAAAAAAAACAGGGAATTGATTTTGACTGGTGGCCATTTACCCAAATTCAAATGAGACACAAGCAAGATTTAGAAATATATGGATTCTATAAGGAAACCCAAGAACTGGACAAAGTATTGTTAGGGACAGATGAAAAATTAACAAAGAAAATTTATAATTACCTATTGAATTTTAAAATGGAAGATGAATACGTAAAAGAAACGATGATTGGATGTGCAAAAATTTTTGGGTACACTATAGAATTAGATAATTGGCAAAAATTGTGGGAAATAAATTCTAAATTAACATTGTCAACAGTGTACAAAGAAAACCTATACAAAATATTTTATAGATGCACTTGCTACTAGGAAGATTGGCAAAAATGTTTGCAAATATGTTATCAGAATGTTGGAAATGCACACAGAGGTCAGGATTCTACTATCATATATGGTGGACCTGTCCAGCAGCGAAAAAATATTAGTTGAAGATAAAGAATTAGCTAGAAGAGATGAGAGCACAGCAAATAGATCTGAAACCAGAACTATTCTTATTAGGGATAAAATCAGGGAAATATAATAAAAGATTCACATATTTAATCATACCTATAATAATATCAGTTAGAATCATATACACACACATTTGGAAAAATGAAACCACAGATTGGAAGATAATAGAGAAAAAAATTAGAATGTGCCGAACTGGACAGACTAACAATGGAACTTAAGGACAAAGAGGAAACATAATAGTACTTAACATGGAATGTTTTGTATAATTAGCTAAATAATAGATGCAGAGATTAGTATTTAACAAGGAAAAAAGATTAACAAAATAGAAATATACAGATATATTGAAATATGTAAGAATAAACAATGTAAACAATATCACTATTGGATTGTATGTGAACATAGTTTAAAATGCACAGAATGATAAATGTAATAGCATATTATGGTATAAATAAGAAAATAATAGTTATAATCATATGTATAACACTATGTAATCAAAAGAGATTATATTGTATGATAGTTACAACTAGGATGTATACTATGATGTAAAAAAGGGGGGATTTGATATAACCAGTACACTGACATTGTAAAATTGGAA